CCCCCTGCTGGAAGCAGGAGGGAGAGGAGGGAGGGGGGCGGGTAGGGAGGGATTAGTTGCTGCCCGATGCTGTGTGGCGGGGTCCGGTGCGTCCGCCGTTTCCCCCCTCTTCCCTCTCCTCCTGAGTAAAAGTGAACTCGTTCGCGGGAACTCGTTCCCCGAACCGTACCGTCATTCGGAATCATTATTGGACCTCTCCGCAACCCCTCCGCAAGCTGACCACCCACACCAGAACATGGTACCGGTGGCGGCGGTGGCGGCGGCGGTCGCAATTTATCTACATTCATACAGACAGACAGACAGACACACACACAGATATGCAGACATATTGATATACAGACAGACACACATACAGGCAGACATGCAGACATATTCATATACAGACAGACAGTCACCGGATGCCGAAAACGGACGCCGGCAGAGAGGTGGCCCTTTCCCTCCGCGCGCGCGTATGTGTGTGTGTGTGGTTATGTGTGTGGTTGTTACAGTGGGCTCCAGACTTATGTGAAGAGTAGGTAGAGCCAGCTGGCCGTGCATTACTATTACTGCTGCACCTGGTGAGGCGATCAGGGCAGTCAAGACTCCCCCACCACCCAGACCAGACAATGCAAGTGTGTCCTCCGGTGTCTTGTCCCCTAGATAGAGACAGCGGACAGCGAACCCAAGGCCTAGGGAAGAGAAGGCTTAGAACCAATCCGCAACCACTGGGGAAATTGCCAATAGGCTCCCCAATAGGCTCCAAAAGTTCCCCCCGGCACCTTCACAAGGAGGTGCACCAACAAATATCTTGACTGGGACTGCACGTGTGTTTCTTCCCCACCCTCATTTAATCTCCCCCCTACCTCCCACCCCCTTTCTCAGACCGGGGTGACGTCACCGCCGCCCACCCCGACAGCGGCAGCTCTCCCCCCGGGCCGCCGCCGCCGCCGCCGCCGCCGCCGCCCGCCGTCAGCCGGGGTCGCAGGTTGGACCAGGCACCGCCCCTCCCCCCACCGCCCTCTTCTGGACCTCAACACCACCAACACCATGCTGGGCACCAACAGCAGCAGCAGCAGCGCCGGTGTCCGGGGTCGGGGGGGTCCGGACCTGACTCTTCCCCGGGGGCGGGGAGTGGTATGGTGGATGTGATTGGAGGGGGAGGAGGGGGAGGGGGAGGAGGGGGACAGCCGCCTCACACGCAGCAGGGGGCAGGGGGGCAGCAGCAGCAACAGCAGCAGTATTCCCACTCTCACTCGCCGGCCGGGGGGGGGCTCATGGGGGCCCACGGCGCGCAGGGGGGCCCCGCGGCCGGGGAAGAAGAACTGCTGCTGCAGGGAGGGCCGCCGCCGCCGCCGCCGCCGCGGTGGCA